ATTATTATTTTATACATATTATACATAAAACATTATTTGAAATATTATTAAAAAATAGACTAAATGTTTGATGTAATATTTATGATAAAAGCAAATAAAATTCTAGTAAGTATTTTTTATTGGAATTATAATGTCTTATTAAGTATTTCCATAGCATTTACTACAAAATTTATAATAAATATTTCATAATACTTATAATAAATTTATGATCTATATATGATCTTTTATAGTCTCAATTTGAGACTATAAAAATATTTACAAAATATTTAAAATAAGCCTTACAAATATTTATAAATATTTTGTAAATACTTTATAAATATTGCATTTTGTCTGGGGTATATATATGAGTCGTATTGCATCATTAGAAACATTGTGTTAAACACTGTGTCACTTTATGTCTATGCTCTCATTATTGTTATTAAAATTGAAATTAAAATTGAAAAGTACAACTTGCAACGGAAAGTCTAAGATAACTTTGTTATAAAACAGTCGCGAAAAAGAAATTCGCAAGAAATCCGTCCATTTGATCGACAGATATCGACTGATAATGTTCCGGAAAACGATAATGCGTGCGTTGTGTTCTGCCGCGAGGCATATTAATTGGCGTATTGACAATGCGGAACAGGTGATTCGGTTATGTATAGAGATGGGCCAATAAAAGAGAAGAGAAAAGCGTGTCTCGTTACATAAAGCAAATTGTTGTGGTACATGTGTGCGCGCGCGCGCGTGTGTGTGTGTGTATGTGTGTGTGTGTGTGTGTGTGTGTGTATTTCCAGATGATTTTTTTCCCACAGTCATCTCTCTTTTAAGGTACCTTTTCATGCTAATGCTCATTTTTAACGTTGAACAGGTCATGTGAAAATTGACACTTGATATTCATCAACTTTGACCATGTGACTTATATAAAAACGAATGTGGAGTGTCAGCATAAAATTATACCTTATAAATTATTCTTTATCTCGGCTCAAAAGAAAGCAAAACTCTTACAATGGCGTCATTTAACGTTCATACTTGAAGTACTTCTATTCTTGAAGATATGCGAAAGTTCTTTAGGACAAATGGGTATGAACTATACGTCCTTGAGAATTCTGCATTGTCAAGTTCTTGTGTATTTTAATGGGGAGATCACCGATGGCATCTCGCTATAAATCGAAAGTAATTATTTCCTATCCTTATTTTCGATTAGAAAAATGCAAATTAAATGAAGATTTATCTTAATATTATCTTAATATTTATGTTAAAATTATTTTTATTATATTCACATCTTTTCAACATCTTTTCTGTACTGCATATTTAATTTTAAAAAATAAAAATAATTAGTGACGCATAAATTGACATCATTGGCGGTTCTAACGTTTCAAGCAACAGAGATATTTGAGACATTAATGTTCGATAACCCACTTTCCCAGACAGCACAAAATATTTATAAAATATTTATAAAATATTTATAAATATTTATAAGGCTTATTTTAAATATTTTGTAAATATTTTTGTGACCTCAGATCATAAACATTTATTATAAATATTATGAATTTATTATAAATCTTATAGTATATAAATGCTATGGAAATACTTAATAAGATTATTATAATTCAAATAAATAATTACCAGAAATATTTATTTACATTTATTCATAAATATTTATTCATAAATATTACATTAAATATTTAATCTATATCTTTTAATAAATATTTCGAATAAAGCTTTATATAAAACATGTATAAAATGTTTATATAACATTTCAAAAAATGAATAATAATAAATATTTATCATAAATATTCTGTGCTATCTGGGTTACATGCAGCATAATTCGTTATTGATGATAAAAAAGTGTATAGCAGAATAGTGGGAGAGATTAGGAAGATATTTCTTCATAAGAGAAATTGAAATGTAATTACATAAGAAAGAATGAGATATTAATAGTGTTAGTCCAATAGTAGTCTAATTGAAAATAATCTTGTTTTAATAATAATGTTAATGAAACAAACAAATAATATTTAATTAAAACAAGAGCACACTGAAAAAAATTACGAAATTTTAATGAACATTTGTTTGAATAATATTAACCAAATATTTAACAAATGTAAACATTTCTTTATTTGGTACAAGAAACATTAATTTATTTGATCTAAGAAACATTAATTTGATTTAAATATAATTTTTTTATTTTTTTGATTTAATTTTTGATTTAAATATTTATTTAGTAAATATTTAAATTAAGTAAATATTTAGTTAATAAATACATTTAAGAAAGAAATTTATTAAAATTTAATAAACATTTTTAGTGCACGGCGCATTTGTTTTATTAATAATTATTAAATTAACAAGATTATTTTAGACTGCTGACGGCTGATGTTGTGAATACAGCATCGTATTTCTTCCATGTAAAAGCGTTTATTGTTTTATTCGGTTTCTCTTTTGTTTTCTCTCTACTTTCGAGGAAATTGATTTTGAAACAGTCGTAAGATGTGTATGATTCTCGTTATCTCGCGACCTGCGACGAAGTGCGTGATCGTCGCAATCTCGAATCCACTTAAGCTCGTATGTTGGCAGTGATATCGTACACACGGTTAGCGTTATTTATATATTTAACGTATTAAACTTTGCAACGTGTTGCACAACATGAATTGCGTAACGCAAAAAGTGTACTATTGTCATTCGTCTGATTGACTTCTTTGATTTTAAACGAAAATCTCGATCAACATAAATTTTAAATTGGACATCAAATCAGTCCTTAGCAACTTATGTATGTTTTTTTGTCTGTTTTTTGGTCATGCATTATACGAGTTGATTTCAATTAATTATAAACCGTTGCATTCAATAAAGTCATTATTGAATTATTATTATTATTATTATTATTATTATTATTATTATTATTATTATTATATTCACAATTTCAAAACCAAACTCCTCGCATTCATTCGATGCGTTTTTGAAAAATAAAAGGAAAAACAAAAGACTTCCTCGAAAATAACTCTCTTTTGAAAAGAGTTATAGTTTTGCGAAATTTATGATAATTCCCATTCGGTGCTGTTGGATTCGTTCATTAATGGATTAAGCGAATTTCACACTGCACACCGTGATGCATACCCCTCTCCACTTCTCTCTTTCCCCTTCTCTTTTTCTTCTCCTCCCTCTACCATTGTATGAATGAGCCTTTCGCCGGCTCGCTGTCGGATTCATGTCGACCTCCTCACACCTCCTGTGCTCCTGACATCGCTATCGATCACCGTAGATCATCGATCGTCATTATCGATGATCCCACAAGCGATCGAGACTCGCGCGATTCACGTTCGTGCGCTCGTACAAAACGACATTTATCATTATGTTATTGCGTCTGTTATGTCACACTCATTCGCGGATAACTTGCCATACATGTATGTGCATATACAAGCCCCATTTAGAGTTACGTGACGAACATCGACGTCTCGGCCGGTAATTTTCGCCGAACTCGTTATCCCGCGTACATAGCTTCGTGATTCACTCATTGCTATTTATTCTTTTCATATGTTTTCTTTCCTAATCGAACGTCTGTTTCTTTCCGGAATGCACTCAACGGAGTACTCAATTTATATAGATACACTCTTGCGGTGAAATCTCACTTCAAGAGAGTGAAAATACAATCACTCTTAAAAAAAAATGAAAATATTTCATTTCTTTAAAAAGAGTGGCAATTTTCACTCTTTTTAGAGTAAATTTTCACTTTAAAAACAGTAAAATCTCACTCCAAAAAAAGAGATTTAACTCCTTTCGAAGTGAAAATTCTCTAAAAAGAATAAAAATTGTCACTCTTTTTCGAAAGATAAAGGTTGTATTGTATTTTCACTTTCTTGCAGTGAGATTTCAATAACATAGAGTCGTAATATAATATCATAAAAATATTAATGATCTTATTTGTCATTTACAAGTAAGTTTGCTTATAAATTATTAGTTTCTATAAGGAGAAGTTTTAGGCATAAGTTACCCCTCCGAGCGCCATGCTTTTCGCGATCAGTCAGGCATGCAACCCAGTGCGAGTTCTTCCGCTCATGCCTAAAAATATAGGTCACATATCTCTCTTCTTCTCTCTCAGTTGATCGAAACGCATTCGTTCCTCATCCATCCGTCCGATTCTTAGCACGTTATTCGTGTGCACTTTTGTACACTTCAGATAAAAATTCAAAATATTCGTTCATTAGTCACACAACTAAAAAAAAACCAAGTTTTTCAGAAAATGAATTTTAATATTTCGAATTATTATAATTTTGTGATATTAATTATAAAATGTAATTTTGGGATAAAAGATTGTAGAGGAACTAAAGTATGTTCTTTTAAAGAAGTGCGTTGTCTTTTTTTAAGTTTTCGTTCTGTGTCTGCAAGCAACGAAAAATTTTTGTATTATGCCATTGTAGTAGCAAACGAGCGATTGTGCAAGCATATCAGACTACACATATTGAAGGTTGGAGTTCAAGCAATTAGACAATTTTAATTTTAATACTAATTTTCATTCTGATTGGTTGAATTCCAGTCCCTAATTTACAATTTCAAATGCGTTATAACCTACAAACTTCACGCTTCGGTGAGAAGAGGAATAGAGTCATACAAAGAGCGACCGAAACGAATGGAGTCGTCGTCGTCTCGTATTTCCATCTTCTTTTGTTTCTATTTTTAGATTTGAAGTATCTTTTCTTTACCTCAATTTGCACGAGAAAGGAAGTGATACTATAATAATTTCTCTTCCAATGTTTTGAAAGCAAATCGAACAGAACGGAATGAGATAATCCAATGTGACGTAACGTTCAGCGCTTCCGCGTCGCTCCGCATTTTCTCGATCGTGCGAGAAGCGTCGAAGTTAGGCGCAGAGAAGTTTCTAGCGAATTCTCGCGCTCGCTCGGTCGTCGTCGGCCGCCTCCGCCTGCGCTCGTCATCGCCGCCGCTAGTGATCACGTGGTCGCGCACAACCCACACGTAACCGCGCATTTAAGTGCTCCCGCGGCCCGCGCGCTGTCAGTCTCGTTGTCAACCGCATTTGTAGTGGATTACGCGCGCGATCACAGTGAAACGCACGTGCACACGTTTTTTCTTTTTTTTTTTTATCTCTTTTGCACTACTCGAGGAAAACGGCCTTGAAAAAGTACAGCCGACGAGGCAAGTGAGAAAGAGACGTATCCTGAGTATATAGCGAATGTCGCTTATATAATCGCGGTGGAGGCAGTGGAGGAGACGAGGAAAAGCCAAGAGAGAAGCACGACGTGTGAGTGTCAGCTATTGCGAGCGAGCGAGCGAAGTGAGAGAGATATATATTGGGAGCGAGTGTGAGAGCGAACGAGAGAGAGCGAGAGAGAGAGAAAGAGAGAGAGAGAGAGAGAGAGAGAGAGAGAGAGAGAGAGAGAGAACGCAAGAAAGTGGAGATTTCGAGAAAAATCTCGCGGCAAATCTTTTCTCGGCGTCTTTGCGCTTTCGAGAGCTAAAAAAAAATTTTGTGCGTGATATATTCCGGAAAAGGAAAGAGAGAAAGAAAGAGGAAAAAGAAAGAAGGAAGGAAAGAAATTACTTGCTGGTGCAAGCGAGAGAGAGTGCGTGTCGAGTATCCAAAAACGGACGCGCGGGCTCGAACGGGTCCAGAAAATGGACTCGCCTGTCATCGTGGACGCAGCATCCAAATTGGGACGAGAGATCGATCTGGACCGCTGCTCGTTCCCCGTAAGTGACGTCCACCTCTCTGTTTTTTTCTTTTCCTTTTTTTTGGTGTTATTTTTTTTCTCGCGAAATATAGGACTTCTCTACGCGCAGTTCCGCACTCCGAGAAAGTTCGGTTGCTCCACGAGCTTCTCGAAGTTTGAAATTCAGATTCTTTCTTATTAGGAATACTCCGTTTGTAAACGAGTACATCTCGGATCGATGTTTTTGTGAACGAATGTTGCGCGTTATGAATTATTATGCACTGTTGCTGATTCCTTCACCGCTTAAGGCTAATATGTCATTTATACAATAAGTATCTCAATGTTGATTGGCTACAGAAAAGTTCTCTGGAAATTTTCTATCCTATAACCAATCAATATGTTTAAAAAATGTGTTACACAACAAATGAAATATTAGTCTGAAGTCGTAATTAAACTAGAGATTGAGATTGAATTGAAATATAAGCAATCAAAGTAAAGTTCACGAAAGAGATTGGTTTTTTCTTGTAATTAATTAAAGTAATTAGTAATTAGTTATTTCAGTTCAATCTCTAGTTTGATCACAAATTGACGATTGATAATTACCCGGTCCTATTTTAGCCAATCACGATGCAACGAATTCATCGTGATTGGCTGAAATAGAATCGAGCAACTGCCAATCGTAACCGTCAATCTATAGTCTGATGCGAGCTTAGGCTGTTCTATTTTTTGAGAAATTTTAATTTACTCTCTCTTTCTCCCTCTCTTGTTCTCTCTCTCTCTTGCTCTTTCTTTTGCCCATTAGAAATTATCACATAGTTCATGCGAAGGTGGAACAACTGATTCTAATGGGCTTTCTGCAGTAAACCATTACCTTTTTAATCTTTAAATCTTAAAAAATCGACCAGTTATCAATATTCTTTTCATGTTTGACTGTGATCGATCAATTTCTTATGACTTAAAGCTTAAATAATGGCTTATTGTAGAAAACTTATTAGGGTTAAAACAGTCTTATCTAGCGCACGAAATATAAGAAAATGAATCAAACAAATTCCTTCATTTTTTCTTTTTCACGAAATAAAAACTTTGATTGATTGATTTTCTTATATTCTATGCTTTATGCAAAAGTCTATGCTTCGGTCCTTGATCTTAAAAATTGCAAATCCCCTACAGCACAAAGTTGCACAAAAGTTGCAGCAACTATATGTAGAGATTTTGCAGTCATTGCTGTAAATTCTGTGCTGTATGAGGTGATAGGCGCATGATGGTCCGTCTGGTTCCACGCTTCCAAGAAGACACGATCCAGATCTTAATGGAATCATCGACGCACATGAGATATTTCCATACGTTCCGCACGTTCTCCTCACTGCCGATATAGCCCTTCCTCTCCCTCTCCATCCGCCGCTGCTCCTCACATTCCGCATTTCGAGATCGCGTGGAAATCAGAAATAGCATTCGCGCCGTATTTTTCGCGTCGCATTCGAACGCGTCGCGACGGAATGCGTCGTTCGCGAAAAAAAGAGAGAGAAAATACAAAAATTGAGATATTATCGTCGCATCACGATATTCGTCAAGAAGTTTCGAGTTCCATTATTGTAATGGTCGCAAAAGAAGTTTATCTGAATCGTTAATTGATTTCGATGATATAAAATGATTTATGATATACGAATTCTCGGAACAAACATGAAAAAAAAACATTCATATCAATATATCATCGAATTATCGTAAATGATCGCCAAACGCAACAGTCATGATGTCACGAAACCTATTTAGATGTCTCGAAAGACCGTTGGTATTATCGTGGTCGATACTAGTAAAGCCCATATCAGATCATTCATTGGAGATTAAGGGTAGCGAATTGGACATTAAGGATCGCGAATTGGTAATTAGAATTCGACCAATCGGATATAATTTTAGCTCGCTATGTCTTGAATGGTCGAATCCTACACGAAAAAAACGCTGAAGTATTGAAAAATTTAGTCAGATACAGATTACAGATCTGAAAATAATTTTGCTGAATCATCAAAATAAATTTATAGAACACTTAAACGTTCAGACAATATTGCAAAAATAGTCTTAATATTTTATTTTGAAAAAAATTAAATTTTAATAAATATTTTTATTGAATAGTTCTAAGTAAATATATTTACTAAATGTGAACATATATTTATTTAGTATAAAAATTATTAATTTGATTCAATTATTATTTTTTATTGAGTAAATATTTATTATAAGTAAATTTACTTATTTACTAGCAGTATTCAAAGAAATACGTATTAAAATTTAGAAATTCTTTTTAATATAACTTGAATGTTCTACGTAATTATTTTGGTTCAAACAAAATTATTTTCATATCTATCTTAATTATCAAATATTTTAACAAAATTGTTTCTTTCATACAATCTTCAACTTGCCGTCCTTAATTTCCAGTTCGCAAATCTCGGTCTCCGATGCATAGTCTGATACGGGCTTAACGGTACGACGTCAAAAGGTGCGGCGTGACGTCATACCGGTCACGTTATCAGATACCTTCCTACGCTCAATATCGGCCATATGATTAGGCGAGATCGCGAGATCGATACGTGCAGCGAAAGAGAGAGATGGAAAGAGGAATTACCTCATATGATTGATTCTTTCTTATACGTTCCAATGACGTTTCTCTCTCAGCGTTCTGGAACGCGATGGATGATTCGCGTGCACGCGTGGGCGTATTTGCGCGTGCTCCAACGAAGACGGAGACCGAGAACCGAAAAGAAACGAGACCGAGCGATCGTTTCCCCCGTATGATATCACCCGGTGGAAATAAAAGAAACCTGTAAAAACGAAGGATAGGAGAAGGAAGATGAGAAAACAAATTTCCCTTCTTCAAAATTGCACAGAATAATTTTACTGAAGTATCTAAAAATTTAGCTATATAAATTTGAAAATAATTTTGTTGGATCATCAAAATAATTATGTAGAACGCTCAAATATTTACTAAAGAACAATACTACAAGAAGTTTTAATATTCTAGCAACCTGTTTGTGATTTATATATAATTATTTTGATGGTTTAAACAAATTATTAGGGTTATTATTATACAAAACTGAAAATCAGGGCAATCAAGAAAAGTCAGGAAATTTTGCAAAATTTTCTGAAAAATAAAAATTCTTGGCTTTAAATGTTTAAAAGTTTAATATGCGTATCTGCGCAATTTTGGAATATTTGTACTTACTTAACAATTAAATATAAGTAATGTTAGCAATATTAATAGCATATAGTAATTTATTATGTTTATTATGTTATTGCTATGTTAAATTATCTCTCAACAAAATATTTGACAGTTTCCAAATCAGAACAAAAAAAATTTATAATATTATTGAAAGAGAAAATTATGAAATTTTGTCTGGAATTCAAAGGAAAATTATAGAATTTTAGGCTGAGGAATTTATGGCAATGATTTATGATAACTTTTAGGTCTAGCTAAATTTTTAGATATTTTAGTTCAAAACTTTAATTTTTTCCTTGTACTTTGAAAGTCTCACATAATGTATATTTTGAGCCAAACAAAATTTTTTTTATCTATTTGTCTATCTATATCTAGCTAAATGTTCAACAAAACCGTTTTTTAGTGCGCGTTAAAATAAATTCGATTGAAAGAGACAGCCAAGGCGTCTCGACATTCAGTCATCTGCGGTAATAGCAAGCGATGCAGGATTAAGTGCGTCAAAAATGGACATTTGGATTGAAGGCCCTCTAAATTTAGTATTTAAAAAATAATTTAAATATCCGAACGCGATGTTATCCTGTTGCGGGTCATTTTCGCGGTTGACAGGCGAAAATTTAATGCAGTGGCGTGTTGGCCATGGCCAGCCAGGCCGAAAATAGGAAAATCTGATTGTTAGGTGCGCGTATGTATGTAAGAAGTTCTTCCGATTCTCTCTCTCTCTCTCTCTCTCCCCCTCTCTCTCTCCCTCTCTCTCTCTCTCTCTCTCTCTCTCTCTCTCTCTCTCTTTCTATACTGTCCCTTCTACTGCCATTTTTCTCTCATTTTCTCTTTCTTTCTCTCGTGCGTCCCGTGTATGGTTTTCTTACAACGTATATCCGCCGGTCGCATTAAGTGGGACGACGAAGCGACCTCGATTCGTCGCAGGAAGAGAAGGAGAAGGAAAGAGAGAAGAGAAGGAGGATTCGTCACCTCGTACCCGATTACGCGAATTTCCCCTTCAGCGCCCTTGCTCGCGTTTGGATCGAAGTCGAGACTGAATGTCACGCACAGCTGTTGCCGTTAGGGTGATTTCGAAGAAATCGAAGGAATAACTACTTAATGTAATCGGGGATAGAGTTCCTGAAATCATTATAAAATTCATATGAAACTCCTATGTATAATTCAATAATTACATGCAACTATAAGGAATAATTGTATAATATCAGATACAATTGTTTATTTTACTAAATAACTTCATATATAGTGAAGAAAATTATTTTTCATCAGATGAAACCGTATGAAAGCAAATACAATCATATAATCTGTAGGACAATATTTCAGCTAGTGGGTTATCCTCTCGGAAGAAATACTTCAATTGGTCAACAATCAACTCAACTAATAATTATTGCAAAATTTCTAGCTATACAGGGTGATTCTTAAGTATTCTAAAAAATTTTAAGGAGGAGATTTCTTTATACATTATATAGATTACATTATAATTCATTATAAAAATTTTATATGTGTTTGAAATGGTTCAGTTTCAAAAATATAGGGTACCAAAGTTGAAGGAAAAATTTCATTTTTTTTCTAAAAATTCGAAAACCACTCGAAAACACAAAATTTCGAAATGACTCGAATGGTTTTCGAAATTTTTTTTTGTCTTAGGCCCAAATGTTACCAACGTTACTTTAATTTTAAGTCTCTCCTTTTCTAATTCTCTATTGGCTTTAAAAAAATAAAGACATAATGTTAAGCTTCTTCGCTTAAAATCAAACTAACTTGATGCAATCGGACTTTAAATAAATCTGAGAAATTATCCCTTTCAGAACATTTATGGACTATCCTATATAATTAATCGTACTTCATTTAATCTTTCTGTCTATATATTAAACAATAAACAATTAATTATTCTACCTACATTAGCAAAATATATTGCTATAATATTACTTCATAAATTAATCGGAATTTAAGTTGCCCTTAATTTATTAGGAAATATGAACCTGGCATAAATTAGGGAATACACCGAATTTTGTTACTCCTATTATCTGCCTTTGAAGATTAGAGACAAAAGTTATTGTCTTACATTTCTACTGTAATTGGCCGATTCGATTACGGCTTAACGGTTGACTGGTCCTATTTTAGCCAATAACAGTGCATCATGATTTGCTGAAATATTCTGAAAATTCTCTTTTTATTTCGTTAGTTGATAATCATATTTAGAAATGAATTATGTATAATCAAAATGAGCTGTATTTACAGCTATGATAAACTGTCAAATCAAAAAGATACAAATACAAATACAAATAAACATGATTTAATTTCTCGAAACAAGAAAATAATTTTTGATATATAGATCTATTCTATCAATTGCAGATATTGTCATTATCATTACAATATTGTCATTATGATTGCAAATATTGCAATTTATTGAAAAATATTTTTATTCAAATATAATTGATGAAGAATCTTCTGTGTTTTTTTCTTTTATAATCTTAGATAGTAATGATGAGTAAACGAAAGTCTTCCTTCCAGATTAAATGTTTTCTTGAACATTTACCTTGTATTTAAATATTCGTTCGTCACGAAAAGAAAGATATTCAATATTGCATAAATTGTTTTTTAACTTTAAGTTTTTCATCTCCTGCATATCAAACACCTGTCAAGCCGGTTTTAGGTAACAATGCGATCAAGATTCTAGTTGTTGATGTATGAGTAATTCCTCATTTCAACAACATCAATTGAACATTGGTTTCATCAAATTTTTATCTGTGTCCGTAGGGGTTCCCATTCGACGACCACGCCGACGTTTTCGAGCGTCCGCGCAGCGACGGCATCCGCGCGCACCTGGACGACCTTGCGGCGCGCCACCCCGAGTTCGCTGAGCACCTGCGCGGTCCGCCTTGGCCGTTCAGCGGTTCCCTGCTGCGTGACCGTCGCCGCCGACGCCGCGGTTCCGGTGGTAGTAACAACGACGACCAGCAGCAACAAGGTCAACAGCATCAGGACGAGGACGCGCGTAGTCAAGCAAGTGGTAGCAGTGCCGCGAGTGGTGCGAGTGCCGTCAGCTCGCACAGCGGCGGCGGTGGCGAGCACGATTCGACGTCATCGTCCGCGATACCGCAGTACGGTCTACGTAATACAGTGGACATAGGCCAGCAACAGCGACGCCGCGATATGGAGACAAGTCCGGAGAAGGATGAGCGCGGTCAGCGCTCGATGTCAGCACCACCGACGGAAAGCTGGCAACAGCAACAGTCGCAACAGCCAGGTCAAGAACAACAACTACCACCGCAACCTGGTCAAGGTCAGAAATTCGTGTCCCGAGTAGATATCACACCGCAGCACAATCAGCAACGTGCGCAGTCGCCTAGTAAACCAGCTAGCAATGTCCGACATATCCCCATCTTCGTGGAGGGTCGCGACGTGCCGGTGATGCCAAAGGTCGCGACAGACGACGCGCCGCCGTCCACCTTTCAACAGCGACAATCGTCACCGCCGTCTCACCATTTCGACAGATCGTCACCGCCAGCGCATCATTTTCACAGACCCTCGCACTTTAACGAACGCTTCAGTCGACAGCAGTGGCCACCGTCGCATTTCCAGGATGCGTTTTATAAGCCGTCAAGTTTTGAACAGCCAATGCGGCGGCAATTTCAGTCACAACATCAGCAACCGCAATACTATTATCAACAACCTCAACATCAGCAACAACCTCAGTATCACCACCCGCAACAGCCTCAACAGCAGCAACAGCAGCAGCAACCTCAGCATTATTATGAGCAACAGCAGACTCAGCAATCTCAACCTCAACCTCATCAGGAACAACAACAGCAACAACAAGAAACTTCAAAACCAAAGCCTCCGGTGCCAAAGGATCCTCTGGAGAGAGTCGCCCAGGTACAAAAAGATGTGGATGATCTGGCCGAGCAGGTGCAACGTTACGTTGGTGATTCTCGGCAGGACAAGGAGTATATGTACTTGGACGAGATGTTGACGCGTGAATTAATCAAGCTGGATGATATAGAGACGGAAGGTCGGGAGAACGTGCGGCAGGCACGTAAGAACGCCATTAAGAGCATTCAGGATACCATTAGCTTGCTGGAAACAAAAACACCAATTGTCAATCAACAGGAGCAACAACCCACCGTGCATAAAATGGCTCAGGAGTATTCTGAGAAAGATCAGCAGGGAAAAGAAATCTCACACATTTCTGAGCCGATGGAGGTAGACACGAAGCAAGAGAAGCTTAGTAACGAGCCGATACCGCTTCCACCGGTGCCGTCGTCGCCAACGAAGGTGAGAAATCGCGAGTGAAGTGACAGTTAAAATGCAGGATATTTGTCAACTGTACAGAAAATTTTAGTTTAACAATTTGTTTTATTCTCTAAATTATATTTTATTTATCTTTTTTTGTTTAGGACAAATTATTTTACTTTTACGATCGCAATATTTATACGAATTATCTTATTTTTTGGCATTTTATTTCGGTTTTGCAGACGAAAGTAGAATCCTCAGAAAGTGAAAGTGCGGCAACAGCTGTCGAATCAGCAAATCAAAACATTATTCCTACCGGACAGCAGATTACCGAACAGAAAACAGAGAATCCAGTTATGCCTGTCGCAGAACAGCCTGTCGCATTGACAGACGAATCAACAAAATGCGCGGTCGAAACAAGCAAGGAGTCCAAACCAAGTGATGGAAAAGATGAAAAACAACAAAAAGACGCGTTACAAACAATAGAAAATAAACACGAGACATTAAAGCAGCAGACGAAGGAAATGATAGAGGGAAAAACGGAAATGAATGACGGCCAGCGGAGTTCAACAGAATCGCCGAGACTGCAAAAGAAGGCAAAGAAGACCAAAAAGAAGGAGCAGCAACAGCAACCGGTATCCGAGCAAGCAATCCCGCTGCCACCACCACCAACGGAGAGCGCGAAGTAAAAACAGAACGTTGAGGAAGTGTCGTATAGTCGAACGTGAATCCTAACGTGGACACGACTCGACCAGAGTTGGCGGATGAGTGTGTGTGTGTGTGTGTGTGTGTGTGTGTGTGTGTGTGTGTGTGTGTGAGAGAGAGAGAGAGAGAGAGAGAGAGAGAGAGAGAGAGAGAGTTTCGTGGGTCATAAAGGAACGAGGATCGACTAAAAATGAAGTTCCTTGAATCACAATGGAACGCCGAGTGATGGAAAGGATAAAAATGAAGAAGTTTTGAAGGACATCGAATTGTCGTAGAAATCGCGAAATGGTTTGATTTGTATTAAGACGCTGAAGACTGCTGTCTTTTCTTACTTTTTCTGAGTTTCCGAATTAGAATCAAGCTAATCGCGTTTGAGCAACGAATCCTTCAGTCACTCGTCATTGCCTTAGGACGAAGCCTTCCTTTTTTATAGAATAATCACGAGCGAACCGAAACGGTACCACCCATAAGTTCGTTGACTTTCTCGGCCTTCGATTTGAAGCTCTTAAGCACATCCGCGTATTCCATTATATTTTTTCAAAGAAAGAATCTTTTCTAAGAAAGAATCTTTGTAGGAATACGCGCAGCGGACGAATTTTTCTCTCTGTCGATAATATATAATCCTCATCCGTCGATAATATATAATCCTTTCTTCTAATTTATTTATAATTTGCGAGCTCGTGGATGATTGTGAGATAAATAGAAACTGCATCTGACTTGTGTGAAATGGATTCGAAATCGCGGGGATAAGATTCAAGTCTCGTTACGAGTCCGGGCGCGTAACTTCAAAGACATCCTATAAAAGGCCAGATGTAGTTTCGTTATATATTCACTTGTCGAGCAGACCAATTTGCCACGTAAATCGTGCCGCAGAAATTATTCATCAAGCAAATTACTGATTATACGTAAAGAAAATACGTAATTTTTTTTAGTTGTGATCGCAGAAAAAGATTATATTTGTATTTTATAAAATAATATACGAATATAAAAATCTTTTGTAAAGTTTGCACGATTTGTTGATTGGATTCGAGTCAAAATTTCGGTTTTTTTAAATTTTGGCTCTTTACGACACAATACAGGAAAATTGATCTGTTTGGAAGGTTTATAACGACGTTATACTCGGTACAGCATCACGTAGAGCGTGCACGTGACGGCAGTGATGACGAGTTAACATTGATTTCTAATTTATTGTATGCCTGCCCGAGAGATGATTTCGTGTTCGCAAGTATGTTTGTTGTTGACGCTAATAATTTTCTGCGTATCGCGCGCACATCTGCCGACAGAAAGTGGCACGGATGTGTGTAAGAAGCATGTGCACATACAAACTTTAGAATCATGAATATTCGTCGAGAATACCGATGCCGTCCCTCGTTTCTTCCTACCTTCCTAGATTTATCATTGGGATGTGTTCCGCGACGTAAATTAATTTATGCGTGTATAATTTAGTGCAAATTAGAATCCTCTTTTAACAGACATTTAAAAGTTGCCAAAGTACAGATTTTGCCTCATAAGTGAATGTTGTATATACAGATTACGCGATTTATTTTCTAAAAACCAGCCAAATATTTTTTGTACGTAACTCTGGTTAAAACATATTTTTTGTAAAATTTCTGCATTCAGGAGGATTCCGTATAATATAAGATAGATTATAAAATCAAAATTGGAATCTGTCTCTAAACTAAAAATACAGATATTTAAACAAAAAATTTTAAAAAATGCTACTTGTGTTCATTGATTTATTGTCTCAAGATACATCAACCCAATTAATTTCTTTTTTTTTGCAATTCTAACCAAACGCAAAATTCTTTCTTTGCGCACTTTGATCAATACTATACTCAATTTAAAAAGAAAAAGAAATTTTAATCATCTGTTGTTTTCTCTTTTTAATGTAAATGAGAAAGAGATGTTCTAAAATTCATAACTGGCCTAAGATAAACTGAAATAAGAAGCTTATTTTTTTACTACTGCACTAGTTTATACTAAATTTTTATCTTCCATCAAATTTTAAATATACCATGGTACATCTATTTTATTTTTAAATAGATTTGAAAAATTTGTGTTAAATTGAACACACGTTTCTCAAATCGTCCACTCAAACTTATGTGTTAATTTTTACGCAAGATGGAATATGTTAAAAAGTAATACAAATATTATATAAATAATTAACACAAAAATTATACACTGACGTAATTTGTAAACAAATCGTGGAAGCATATTTTTTTTAAGTAAAATTAATACATTTATAAAACATTTATAATATGATAACATATATTTTATTTATTTATCTTTACATTTAAAAACACCTTATCTTTATATTATCTGTTCACTTACTCATAAATTGTATTATTTGGGTACTGAGAAGTATTAAATATCAACACTAAAATATTCAACAATATAATATTCAAATAACATAATAAAAATTCAACACATTTTAACAAGAACTTAAAATTTCTATCGTAGATACAAAATATTTTTTACAGCATATACATACAATGTCTAGTTTAGTTGTAAATAATAAATCTTGTAAAACATTATCCTCTTCTAATGGGTACAACTTCTGCATATAGAGATTGTATAATTGTATGTCTTTATTTATGAAATTTATGAAGTGATGGAAAAATAGTCTACGTTTTTGCTAAGAAAAAATCGGTTTTCCTTAAAGAATCCATACGTTTGTTGCGGGACACTCTGTATACAGTGCTCCAAATTTAGCGTCCGTTTAGAATTCTCAAAGCGTTTCAAATGCGCGAGAAAAGTCCATTTGAACCTTGAGTGTATTCGAAGAACCATATACAGAGATTTCAGTTTTTCAAGGAAGTTCCTCCTTCTGTTATTCCACTCCATCTTATATTATTCCTTTTATAGGAAATCGCGAAACGAGGGACGACAAGGGCAATGGATTATTTTTTCGGTTTCTTATTCATGGTGTGATTTGTTTATCTTCACCTTCTCTCCCTTATATCTACAACGTTTTTTGTTCGCATATCTGTATTGACACTATTTTCCAGCCGGAAATTTTGTATTTTTTCTGATACGAGAGATGAGAGGATGAGAGAATGCGTGAGAAAGAGAGAAAGAGAGAGATACGCGTCTGATAAAATTATATATACATATATGATGAAAGTGTGTGACTATTTTAAGAGATTGATCAGTGAAAATACAAAGCCTGCTCTATCTTATATATATGACAGTTTCATTCTTTCCCCTTGGATCAAAAGTGACGTAATAGTTCCGTAACTGAGTCAGAATAAAGAATTTCAAATTATTTATTTTAAATACTGTTTAAAATGTTATGCTGTAATTGTCAAATTAAACAATGTCTTTAACAATTTTTGTATCATATATATTTTTTGCATTATTATATATATTCGTCATCGCTGTTATTGTATTCTTTATTTTATATTTTTCCTTTTCCATTTTTCTACATGCATATAAAAAATATTGCACGCAAATAATAAGTACTTGTTTAAAATATTTCGAAGATTCATTCGCAAATTTATCATGTTCATTATAAGTATTAAATTTATTCAAAATATATTTTGAATTCTAGTAAGTTTAATATACTTCAATTTCAAAAAATTATTAAAACAAATTCGATTTGCTTACATAAAATCGTTTCTTTGATTAATTTTATAACATTCTTCAAAGAAAATAAATTCTTTTTGTACATACCACTTTTGTTTTCTTAAAATTTGTAATAAATATATTTTAAGACTATTATCAAGAAAATATTCTTTATTAAAAGATAACTGTTATTTAAAAGAAACAAAATAAATTGAGCAATCACTTTTTTTAGTAAATGGATGTGTGTATGTGACTGAAAATCACGCTTGTTTGTTTCTTCAGTTGATTACAAATATACAATATGAGACATTTTCTCTTAATGAGGGAAGTAATTTTAAAAACAGGCAAATTTAAATGCACGCTATCGATACCATGCTGTCGCTAATTCTTCCTCCATTATGGTGAACTCTTTTGTGCGGATTTAACTTAAGGAGATTCTCGACCATGGGTAGTACCAATGACCTACTAGAAACAACATCCGCCATCATACGCAGCTGTTGTCACGTTCACTGCCAAATTCCTACGAATTGTTTGCATTTGACGCATACGATTTTGCTATCATCTGGGAATTCCCCGCGTCGAACATGTGGTTAGGAAAGAAAACATTCTTATTCTGATAAAGAAAATTCTTGTATTAATTATAATATGATATAATATTCTTAAGAATTTTTTGTATATTAAATTCATGAATGTTTTTGAAAAATTGTATAAAGAATTCTAGAAGAAATTTTTGCCTACAGAGTAATTAGTTATAAATTATTGATATTTCTCGCATATTATGACATTATCGCTATAAAAAGATTGGTACAAATCAATATAAAAATTACAATTGCAATTGAATGAAGAAATAAAATGTTCTCTTTTTGCATGCTTCAGTTTAATCCGAAAGAACCAGAATATAATTTCAGTTCCTAGAAAAAAAAATACATTTCGATTGTTACTATCCTCAAAGTTTCAATATTTCGAATACAATTCAGCTCCTCATCAATTATTAACGCAATGGAAATCAATTCTTTTAAAATAATTCTTTTAAAATAATTAATTAATTACGTATTACGTTTGTATACATTTAAAAAATGTCTGTCATCTTTCTTTTATATCTTTAAGTTCAAAATTATATTTATCTTACATAGGATGCAGATCAGATGGCGGAATTTCATGATATCGGATAAGATTTTGCGATCGCGAATCTGTCGTCGCGACGATAGATCCGCGTCGCGAGAACGTCGCGGAGAACGAGCGGAACGTTCCGCGATTCGCGTGCGAACTTGGCACGGCAGAAGCACGTACGCTTCGCCAAAAATAGCGATCGACGACGGGTTAAACTGTTAGCAGGAGAAAGTTAGAACGAGAAGTTTTTGCGTCGCATGCAACGGGAAATCCTGTTGAGGATGCGCCGAATCGCACTTGTCACTAGCGCGAGATAATATATCTCGTCGAAATTAAATCCCGATCAAAAGAAAGATCGAAAAGAGATTGCGATCAGAAATTTGTTCTCCACTTTATTTAGCTTTAGAAATACATACATGTTGTAAATACAGTGAATTTTAAGTGCAATTTAATCGCTTATAGGAGAACGTTCAGACTTCCATACATAAATTTTCATAAATAATAAAATGTAAACAGTAAATAAATCGATGTTTGCTTACGTTATTGTCTCGTTTTCTGTGATTCGTTTTGCTTATGACTATTTATTTTTCTGTATGCGTAAGAATAAATTGAAAAATGTGAAGAAAGAAATAAGTTTATATATTCTCTAAATTTCTTGGAGCGAAATCTCACTCTAAAAGAGTAAAAATATTTGTACTCTTGAATAATAAAAATGGCAGATTTCACTCTTTTTTTGGAGAGAGATTCACTCGAAGGAAAAGAAATCTTACTTTTTTTTTTGGAATGAATCTCCAGAAGCTCAATTATAATAAGATGATAACATTCCAAAGTAAACAGAATTGTACATATAGAAGATAAAAAAAAACAACAATCTATTGCACGTCACAGTCGGAATTAGAACCTTCTTCGTTAATAATTAGTAATCATAAGGTCAAAGTCAAAGTAACTATTATGTAACGTCAAGATGAAAAATTATTTCTTCGCAATATATAATGTTTCCACTAAACCAGTTTAAAAGTAAAGCAAAAATATTTGATTTATGTGAAAAATTTAATTTATTGTGTTATAACTTGTGTATCATATATACATAGTGTATATACTGTAAAATTGGAAATATTAAAATTATAAAAATTTTTGAGACTCTGGAAAAATCAAGATCTCCATCAATCCATCTGTAGGTTTATTTCGTGTCAATTTGTGTGTTTTTCGTCCTCTTTCTTGCAAAAAAACCAAAAATACATGCTTATTTCATTTTAAATGCGGGAAGTGGAGGTAAACAAGTAATTTCGTTTTCTTTTATAACAGTCCGATAACGTCATCGTTTATGCTTTATTCTCGCCTCATATGCTAAACATAGTGATTATAGAGAGATCCTTTTTTCATACAAAAGCTAGTATACTTAAGAATTAGTTCCGTTCAGCTGATATTTAAAAACTTGACGTAAAACCAATTCTCTATGCTGCAATAATCAGATAGATGTCACTATTTTTCATGTTTTACTAACACTTGCTATTGTCTATCTTTTTTACCTACCATTGACAAGGAAGATAATTAATTTGTAAGATTTAATTTTATCAAAGATATATGTAATACAATTTTGAAATTATTTTTTTACACGAAGATCAAGCTGTTTAAACATTTTTTTTCTTAATCTTTTTGCTATAATTTTTCGTGAAAAAATTGTAAGTGACATTTCTTTTGACGAAAATTTTCAGAAGGCCATCAGAAAAGAAATGCATATGTTTGAAACTCATGTGGAAAATATGCGATAAAAATTCGAAAGTTGCAAAAAGCAGATTTTTCACTTATAAAACAAAAGATGTCGATTGTATAAAAAAAAGTGCAGTATGAAAAATGTAGGTATTCGAAATATCTACAAAATGAGATGTAAAACATTAAGCTACTTTTATATTTGCGAAAATTAGTGTTATACGAAACTTTCACAAATATAAAATTAAATTAGTGTTATATAAAAAGTATGTACAACTGTCTTCACTTACACTATTTGGTAAATTACTTATTAATTTGTTGACATATATGTT